ATTATTAAGGAACAAAATTCTATGCTTTGAAGAATTATTTTTCAATCATTTTTAAAATTTTTAATAACTACATGGTTAGAAGAAGCATTTCATTACAGCATTAACATATTCAATAACACACTCCAGAGCAAGAATACATGTCTTTCACAAGTGGCTGTAAATTCTTAGGTTTACACTTGAATTAATACAGTTATATAACACTGAACGCAGTATAAACCCTATAAGACATAAAACTGAATGAGGTTTGAACCTTTAAAAAAGATCTCCATTTCATTTTAAAACATACTGTTTCATACAGAAAAACTCATTTTTAATGCTACTAACACTTAGATGTTTGCACATGCGTCTCTAAGCTCCACGTATCTGATTATTACTAGTCACAGTCGGTTATTTTCTGAGATCCTTGGCATCTGAGCATGGATATAAAGTCATCAGGTACATTTCAATCGTAATGTTTGTTAACTCTACTAATTAACATGAAGCAAATTTTTGTGCTTCTTCCTCAAATATAACTCATTTTTTAATTTGTTGATTTTTTGTGTGTATTTCATATAGAACATCCCAAACAATCTTATTCATCTATATACCCACATCCCAAATGGCACCCTCCCATAACCTCCCCCCACCAACTGGAGCCCGTACACTCTGTCATCCTTGTTACTGTCCACTGTGTTGTCGGCACCCCCAGCCACTCTCCAGGGCTTGTCCATCTGCTGAATCTAGTCAGCCTATCTAGAGATCCTGGTTTTACGAAGATCAGCTCTTCCTCATCTAGCAGCAATCAGTTGTCAATATTCCTTTAGATAAGATTGGGGTCTGCTGTTCATTTTTCCGGTTCTATGCTGGGTTATTGTCTGGGAGTCTTTTGGGTCACCCTGGCCGACAACTCAAAGGAAGGTATCTCCTGTCTGGCATTGTTTCTAGTTCTGCCTATGTGAAGATAAGTAGTCAAAGGTACTACTCAACCATGGCTGCCTTCACTTGGAATCATGGAGGAAATGTTTCCTCTCTGTTGACCCTCCTCTTTGTAGACTAGACACTGGTTCAGGTCTATCTGGTGGGGTCTCCACGGCCCTGTTGCTCAAGAGAACACGTGACTCACAACAGTTACAGGACATTTTGAAAGACATTTTCCAGATTAAGTCCCCTCAAACTTAGTCAACCTAGGAGGGCAAGCAGCCAAAACTGTCCTTTATGTCCCCCTGACCAAATTAGTATAGGCCTCTGAGTATGGCTGTTAAACATCCAAGAAGTTTCACCAGTCTGGTACTTTTAATTACCATGTGCCATGTAGATAAAGCTTGAGCAAAGACCAAAAGCTCTCAGATAAACCTTGCCTAGATATATATTATATTCCTTGAGCTAGTTGTATGTATAATTAATCAGTAGGTTATTTGATTAATATGGTTCTCTCTAGTTTTTAAAAATATTGCTAGGCATTATTTATCTTTCACATTGTCTAACCCTTCTACCGTGTTTCCCCATTTAAAGTGCCCCCGTTTGTCCAATTTCTCCCTTAATAATACCCTTCTCCTATGGTCCTACCTCTCTTGAGTTCCTTCTTTCCCTTTATCCCCAAGGTTTCTTATATACCCTTCC